AGCTTCACTCAACACATCACAGTTTGTTATACTTTCCATATGACATCTGCATCTCTGCCCTTCCCTGACTCCTACTTTCCTATCTATAGGTATGTTTTGTTCTCCCCCAACCATCCATCACATTCTGTACTCATTGCCACATTCTGCCTCATTGGTAGTTAAACAAAGTTGGTATGTATAACCTCAACATAGACTTGGGGAGAGACAGTAAAAGGGAGGATTGAAAACAGCAAAACAGGAGAGTGGTGGGGCCGATTTTTGCTCCTTGCTGACTCACTTGGTTCATGAGCCCTTAGAGAGCCTGCATAGACTTCTCCACAGTTGACTTTCTGAACTCCTGTTATACATAAAGGATGAGGCAAAAAATATTAGCACCATAGAAAAGTAGCTCCATTGAATATTAAGTTATAAAATGAGTTGGTGATTATAAATTGAAACACTCACTTTGATGACGAGTTTACACGTGAATTATTCCTTCACCACCAGAAAGTGCTACAGTGTTAACATTTGGTTTGTTGTTATTTTATTTCAATCGGGGACAAATTCTTTTAGTGTTCTGTATGCCCTTCATGTTTTGGTGAGTGAATTAGGTAGCAATCACAGTTTAGAACACAGGTGGGAGGACACTATGTTTTTCCCTAATTTGGTTCCATTATTGGGGACAGTGTGGTATTTGGGTAGATTCCACATGTTAGTCAGAGTCTTCAGATTGTTGATCTTTTGGGTAACATGAATTAGAAGTTAAATTCAGATCTTCTCTGTATGAAGTTGAGGAAACTGAAGTGTTTTGTTGCACGTCTTGTTCTGAATCTATGTTGGATAAAGAGGCTACACATGTGTCTTGCACTGAGCTTTGTCCAGAAGAAGACTGCAAATCTGGCCTCATGTCTTCTGATTGTGGGTCCCTTGGAGTTTCGCCTATGCTTCTCACATCCTCTGGTGTGATGTCTCCTCTTTGGATACAGTCTACTTGCATGTCTTTTTTTTGCATAACTGTAAATTGAAAGTCTTTTTGGTCTTTGTCTTGACACTGACTGTCTTTAAATAGAGTGTCTTGTAATTGCCAATCTAAATTACGCTGGGCTGTGGCATGCTGGGTTTGGACTTTCTGGCCTAGAGCTTTCTGCATTAGGGCTTCTTTCTCTACTAGGTCTTGGGTTTTCCAGGATTGGGGTTCCCAGTTTAGAGAATGTTGCATTTCAAATTGCCATTCTTGTGCTTTCCAATCTTTGTTTCTCTGACTTTGAGTTCCCCATTCCTGAGATTGCTGTGGGCCGAAAGATTGCCAGTCTTGGGTTGAACATTCTGAAAGTTTCTTTTTGGGGGGTCGCCAGTCTTGATGTTGATGGATTTGGGATTCCTGATCTTGATATAGCTGATTTGGAGCTTTCTTCACTTGAGCTTGCTGTCCTTTGACTTGAACATTTTGGGATTGTCCCTTTGGGGATTTTTCCTCCTGGGCCTGCTGGACATTCGTTTGCTGATCTTGGGTTTGTTTCTTTGGGCTTTGCTCCTTTTCAGCCTGGTGGTCCTTCTTTTGCCCAACTTTGAGCTGTCCCTTTGGGGCTTGCTCCCCTT